TTGCTCTTTTTAAACGTGACTACTGGAAAATTTTAAATTTCATATGTGGCTCATGTTATGTTTCTACTGGACAGCACTGATCTAGACTTCATTCAATAACCATTGAAGATATTTGAGTAGGAGAATGATCCAATTAAGGTTTCGATTTAGTGTAATTCCTCTAGCTCTGGTGGGGGATGCGTTGATATTCGAAGGAAATCCGAGGAAGGGGCAGTGATAAGGGTCTGAGAGCTGGGATTAGGTGCTTCAAGATCAACTGGAGTGATGGATGGTTGAAACCCAGTTTAGACAAGAAAATCAACATTTCTCAAATTTTTTCTCTTTACCCTGTATTTTCTTTGGTGTTTTCAGATTCAGAATCAACTCTGAGAACACTTCACCTGGTAGAAGATTAGAAAATAACAGGCTGCAGCAAAAGTTGTTCTTTCTGAGGAAAATTATAAACGCAAAGCACAGAGTAGAATTAACTCTGGCAGTCTTTAGTCTTTAGCTTTTTTGTGAGCTTTGAAATGCCATTTATACTGTCCTGTGAAAAAAGCAGGTTTTTTTCTCTGTCTTTAACTCTATGTATTTAAAGTCTCATCGTGATTTCAGGATTTTTTTGGTTTGTTTGTTTTCCAGCTCAGTTATCACACTAGCAAACAGCCTCTGGCCGACTAGCAAGAGGCTGGGATTGAGATTTACCGTCTGCAGGTACCTGTGTTTGGAATTAAGAGATTTCAGGCCATTATTTCATTTATTACTTTCTTCTTAGCAGACCTCCATTAAACAATGAGGTGGGAATTTTATAACATTTCTCCCCAGTCTGTCCCATTTTCAGATGTATCCACCACACTTCCTCTTTTGTTTTCAGGAAGGATGGAAGAACTTCCCACAGCAATCCAGTGATGCAGGATACATGTTTTAGGGCAGTTACCCTGCTGGCCTTCCCTAGCGTAATCCCCAAATCAGTCACCAGAGCTGTAACTCCTGACTAACTCGCGTTGGGAATCTAGTGGGACCCACTCTCAAAGTGTCTTGAAGACACCAATCAACCAACCCATCTCCCCCTAAAACATACCAACATGCAGATGTATTGAGCAACTGTTATCTATCGCCCAGGGTGAGGATTGCCTAACTTGGTTGTCTGTTACTCTGGGGATAAGCCCAGCGCTGACTGCTTTCTGGTCAGGAGTTTGTTAGGTCCCTCTTCCTCAAAAAGAGTTTGCCTCAATATGTCAGCACGCTTTTACACTCTTGAGATTCAGTTTAATTCCAGGTGTAACCTTTAAGAAAAAAAGTACACGTACTGCCAGAAGTAGAATGCGCTCTGTCCCTAGTCTTAACTTTTTTTAAGGCAATTTTCTCAGCCTGAGTGACCCAGACAAATTAGGTTTCTCCTCTCTCTCCCTCTTACCCACCCTCTTTTTTCACTAAGAAGAAAATATTCTACAGAATTAATTCCAAAACTTAACCTGCAGTCTTAGCTTTCTTCATAGCTGTTTTGCACACATTAATTTGGGACGTGTAATCCTGCGCCTTCACAATTACATTTGCTGTTTCATTAACCGTTGGAATTACTGAGGCAAAACCTGTGATCTGGAATCACACTGGAGCCCGCCCTGAATAAACGAAGGCGGGGGGGTGGGGGGGAGGTTACACACCTGCTTTTCACTTTTGCTCGCGCCATTTGCCCTGGCAAAACATTCAAGAAGAATTATACCAGGGGTGCCTGGGGGGCTCAGTCGGTTGAGCGTCCGACTTCGGCTCAAGTCATGATCACACGGTTTGTAGGTTCGAGCCCCACGTCGGGCTCTGTGCTGACAGCTCAGAGTCTGGAGCCTGTTTCAGATTCTGTGTCTCCCTCTCTCTCTGCCCCTCACCACTTGTGCTCTGTCTCTCTCTGTCTCCAAAAAAAAAAAAAAAAAAAAAAAAAAAAAATTATACTAAGCCTAGGGAGAAGAGGAAAGAAAAGATAAAGTAATTTAGAGCCAAGACAAATAATAAATAAAAGCAAAGATAAGAAATAAGATAAATGGAAATGCAACCTGGTGCAGCCACTCTGGAAAACAGTGTGAAGGTTCCTCAAAAAATTAAAAATAGAACTACCCTACGACCCAGCAATTGCACTACTAGGGATTTATCCAAGGGATACAGGTGTGCTGTTTCAAAGGGGCACATGCACCCCAGTGTTATAGCAGCGCTATCAGCAATACCAAAGTATGGAAAGAGCCCACATGTCCTTCGATGGGTGAATGGATAAAGAAGATGTGGTTTATATCTAAAGTGGAGTATTACTCGGCAATCAAAAAGAATGAAATCTTGCCATTTGCAACTGTGTGGATGGAACTAGAGGGTATTATGCTAAGCAAAATTAGTCAGAGAAAAGCAAATAGTATATGACTTCACCCATATGAGGTCTTTAATATACAAAAGAGATGAACATTAGGGAAGGGAAGCAAAAATAATGTAAAAACAGGGAGGGAGACAAAACATAAGAGACTCTTAAATATGGAGAACAAACAGAAGGGTTGTGGGGGGAGGGGTGGCCTAAATAGGGAAGGGGCATTAAGGAATCTACTCCTGAAAATACTGTTGCACTATGTGCTCCCTAACCTGGATGTAAATTAAAAAATAATTTTTTTAAAAAAAGCAACAATGTGATTTTTCAAAACAAAACAAAAAAAAAAGTAATGAGATAAAAATGCAGAAGGAGGTAAACCATAAGAAACTCTTAAATACAGAGAACAAACTGAGGGTTGCCAGAGGGGAGGTGGGTGGCAAGATGGACTAAATGGGTGATGGGTATTAAGAAGGGCATTTGTTGAGATGAGCACTGGGTTCTACTCCTGAAACCATTACTACACTATATGTTAACTAACTTAAATTTAAATGAAAAGAAAGAACATAAAAAAGACCAGAGGAAAACAGCCTATCACGGGCTTCTGACCATAAGTTGAAGGTCCAGCCATGAGCCTCACATAGGTATTGACTGTTTACATGTGGCTCATGATTTAAAATTGGAGAAATTTAAAAAATTTTCCCATCAAACACAACTTTGTTGATCGATGCCGTATTACTTTTAACTGTAGAACATGTAGAGGCTAAAATGGAGATGTATTATAAATGTGAAATATACACTGAATTTCAAAGACTTATTAGGGAGGAAAAAGTAAACTACCTTAGTAATAATTGTTAGATTGATGTCATACAGAAATGATAATATTTTGGCTATAGTGGGTCAAATGAAATAATTATTTAAATTATTCATCTGTCTTGTTTCTTTAAAAATTTTTAATGTGGCTCCAAGCAAATTTTATATTACATAAGTGCTTGGATTTTATTTCTATTGGACCTCAATGCCGTGCAGGATATTCTTTGTCCTTTGGCTACTAAATTCAGTTGCTGTGGTAACTAAAGGGGCCTTTAGGCTCAGAGTTTCCAGGAAGGACAGGAGTGAGGTGGGGGAAGGGAAGTGTGACCTCAGGGAAGGGTTTCTTGAATGTCACGTTTCACTCATACTCAGCCAACAGTCCGATTTAGAAGATCTCCTCGTTTTAGAAAAAGAGAGAGACATCATAACCTGGTTTGTTCCGGGTCCAGTAGCATCAGTTTGAATTCTAGGCGCTCAGCCAAAACCCCAAAGAGAGATGCACTTCCACCAGTTAACCAACTAGAAAAATTATGCCTATTTACTGTGCTCTGTCCCTACACACCCTCGGCCCCCAAAGTGAAGGAGTTGCTAGGCTACAAATTACCGGGCCTTAGGAATTTGACCATTGATACCTCCCCCGCCCCAGCAAAGCCTCGATACTATCTCTCACCCAACTCTTGAATCAGACCTAAATTGTTTTCTTTGTTTACTCTCACCTGGAGCCTCTTCTCTCTCTGCTCTCATTATCCTTCATCTTCCTCTGTGCACGTTTTTCTTATCTGTTTTCCCTACTCATCTCGCTCAATTTTCTCGTATGGCTTAGTAATCAGATACTTCTCTCACTCTTTTCTTTCAAGAAATTCACAGTCTGTAATTAATAGGCTATTGATCATTCTCTCCAGTTGTGTAAGAACCAGTTGGGCTTGTCCCTCTTTTGTTTGGTGAGTGGAAGAAGGGAAATGCTATAAATTCCTTAAAAGCTAGGACCTTTTTTTGTCCTCCATAACCAAGGAGTCCCCAACTTCTTGGAGAGCATCTGACGTGTAGTGCGTGCGCAGCAATTATGCGTTTAACTGAATTTGGTGATTGTTCCGTCTCTAGACGCTATAAACCTGAGGCAAAGCATTGTGGAATGGGTAGGATTCAGAATGGGTGCTATGGTGAATGCCAAATCAAGAAGTTTGGATCGTATCCCACAGGCAGTAGATTCTCTCCTTCTTGCACCCCAGGGGAGTTGGTCTGGCTCCCAGATACTCTGGTTTTCTTCCCCCCAGGAGAGATTGTGCTAATCCGATGACAAGGAGAGCCAAAACCTGGCCCAATTCTTCCCTTGTTTGCTTTTCTTCTCTCAGACTGCCCTTCCTTCCCCTTCAAGATTGTAGACCTAGCTTGTAATCAAAAAGCAGCTGATAAATTCATAGCATTATGAATCTTTCTGCTTACACTCCTTCAGGCAACCTTAACTCTCAGATAGTAGCACCCAGTCGACTTTGCCTTATATAAATAGCATTTATTCTCTTTATACATTAATTTAATTCCCAGCAGATGCGAGAGCGAGAAGTAAAGTGTATTTGCCCTCCCTCCAGCCTTTTCTGGTAGCATTTTGTCTGTGAAACTAAGAGGCTACATAGCGGCTATTAGAAGAGGGAAGGAGGACGAGCTTAAAAAACGGAGTGGGGAGCGTGAAGGATGTGGTTTTGAAACGAAGAGGGGGAGGGAGTTGTTGCCTAGGGTGGGGGTAGAGTTTGAGGTCACAAAATTCCGAGAGGTCACGGGATCACTAGAGGCGGGTGTGGGGTGGGGCGGGGGGGGGCTTGTCTCCCTCGGAGGCTCCACCCTTTGCAGAGATTATAAATAAGTAAGCCGGCGGGCTCCAACTGGAAGAGTGAGGGGGACGTGGGTCCTGCGGACCTGGAGAGAAACTTGCTGCCCAGAAGGACATTTTGGAGGTTTTGTTGCCTGGAAGAGGTGGCTCTGGGATCCCAGTCCTAGATCTTCATTGAAGACTGGAAACGAATTAAATTAGGGCCATGGGGACATATAAGGTAAGAATGATACGATTAGCCGTTATTTTTGCGCCTGCGGGGTACAAATTACCGGGCCTTAGGAAAGGCCCCACTTCATGGTGATGGCTGTGCTGTGTTTTATTCTAAGTCACCGAGCCATCTTCGGGCCTTTTCGCTTCTTCTCCAGCCTGCAGTGCCACAGTTTGGCCACTTCTCTTTGGATGTCACAGCCTCTAAAGGATTTCTCTCCATCCCACTCACCTTCCCATCGTAGGGAAGGACACCTCGAGAAGCGGTGTGTGTGTGTGTCAGTTTTCCTGTGTTTTCATTTTGTTTTACATAATCACGTGCCCTGAGGATGTGAGGATGAGATGGTTGAGTATTCCAGGCTGCCTGGCTGTGTTGATGACCAGTGTGGGTCTCTGAGCCAGCGCAGAGATTCCTCGGGAAGCATTAGACCTTGAAAGGACCTGGGTTTGGTTCTGGGGGGCCTGGGTCAGTGTGCAGCCGTCCGCCCAAAAGCTATAGGAGTTCCTGGATACTAAGGAGATAGAATCCCGCGGCCCTTATGGTGGCTGTGATGCGAGGTGCACGACCCACTAATCGGTCATTGTCTGGTACGTATGCAGTATCGGCAAGGAGAAAAGCATCGTCACCAAGGTAAACTCATTGGAAAATACATGAAGTACGAGAAGGGAAGAAAAAATGGGGAGGGAGCGGAAAAGGCTCTCAGGATAACAAATGATGAGGTGAGGCAGAAAAGAAGAGGCGCTTACTGATGGGGAAAGGATTAAGCAGAAAGAGCTGTGTGCGGGGCGGGCGGGGGCACCCCGGGTACTTAGGCCTAGTTGCCTAGGGTACAAGGTCAGCTCAGAGAAACTCCAAGCCAGCCACTTTGTCTAATCGGACGGGGAGGGAGTTGAAGGAAAGAAGGGCTGGGGCAGTGCTGCAGAGAAGTCCTCAGGCTTTAACATCAGGCTTCCTCGAGCTGGAAATGCAGAGAACACTGGGATTGCTCCAGCAAGGTGGAGACGACTCCCTCCTCCCCACTTCGTCTCCCTAGGTTTGGCTGGGAGGGAACTAGTGCGCTCCCCCTGCTGGGTGGGGGCAGCGGTACGTTAGCAAGTAAACAGGAAGAATTTCAAACGGGACCAGGATACCTGTGGGTAGATTCTGTAGATCACATTATCCCTGAAAGGTAAGAATAGCCCAGCAATGAGGACACCACCACTCTGGGCGCCTGTGGGATCCAGGGGATGGAAGAGACAACACTGGATCTGTTTTCAAAGTAATCCACTTCGAGGAACCCCCACACTGTCTTTCCCTGCAGTTCTGTGCTTGCTTTTATTTATTTTTTAATGTTTATTTATTTTGAGAGAGACAGAGACAGCATGGGCTGGGAAGGGGCAGAGAGAGAGAGAGAGAGAGAGATACAGAATCCCAAGCAGGCTCCAGGCTCTGAGCTGTCAGCACAGAGCCCGACGTGGGATTGGAACCCACAAACCGCAAGATGATGACCAGAGCCAAAGTCAGACACTTAACCGACTGAGCCACCCAGGTGCCCCTATGCTTGCTTTTATCTGGGACAATTTTTTTTTAATACTTTCAAACCAATAGGTTAAAGTTTCCTTAACTTTCTTCCCAAATTTTCTTGCCACTTCTCTCAAGTTTGCACCATTTCGTGCAGAGCTCTGGAGAAGTTCTTCAGTGTAACCTCTTGTTTTGTGTTTCCCGTTCATTACCTGAATTTCAATAAGTTTTTGTTCTTTGCATACTGCTCGTAGTCGAGTGCTCCTAATACATCAGTCAAGAGTTTTAAGAACTGGTTTTCCCCTTCTCTCCCCACCTCCCAACCCCACCCCAGGTCACGGCGCCTCTGATCTTTGCCATCTCCATTGCTACAATAGGCTCTTTCCAGTTTGGCTACAACACCGGAGTCATCAATGCTCCCGAGATGGTGAGTGCCAGAAACTAGAGTTAAGAGTTAAGTTAGAATTCGGAATAGGGAAATGATTCCTTTAAGGAGGACTTCAAGAATGAAGAATTTCAGTCAAACTTGTTGTCTAGCTTGGCTAAGGCTGAAGAGGCAGAATATTTTTGGTGGGGAAGTCTAGATGAATACTGAAAGCAGAACGCTTTGTTGCTCCCTAAACCCTTGACTGGACCCATCCTCCTTTCGCCCTGCCATGATGGTGGGAGAATGGGGAGGTGGAGAGTTCTTAGGGGAGCGCCTGGGGTAGGCCCTGAATATCAGTGCTACTACCTACTGGGATTTTCAGGACAGATCAAAGTTGTTCTTTGCAGAGCTACCATGAACTCCAATATGATCTGGGTCTCTTCCAACCCCATCTATTCACTTTCTTGATTCTCTACCTATAAAGTAATCGTAATGCTGTTTTCTTAGGGTGGAGAAGGTCCGCCATATTTGTCCCTTCTCTCATTCAACTGTAACGGTCTGTCTGCCCACCACCCATTTTAATTTGCAGATCATAAAGGACTTTCTCAATCACACTTTGGTTGAGAGGTCGAAGGGGAACTTGAATAACCTCCCCGACGAGGTGTTACTGACGTCCCTCTGGTCTTTGGCGGTGGCCATCTTCTCCATTGGTGGGATGATTGGCTCCTTCTCCGTTGGACTCTTTGTCAACCGCTTTGGCAGGTATTGACTAGAAACTGGGCAAAGAAGGTGCTGCGCCAGTTGCATTGAGAATAGGTATTGAGAATTAGGATGGGGAGGCGATGGGGCACCTGGGGGGCTCATTCAGTTTAGCATCTGACCTTGGCTCAGGTCAAGATCTCATGGTTCGTGAGTTCAAGCCCCACATCTGGGCTTGCTGCTGTCAGGACAGAGCCAGCTTCGGGAGGATCCTCTGTCCTCTCTCTGCCCCTCACCCACTAGCACGCACTCTCTCTCTCTCTCATAAGTAAACAAAAACTTTTATAAAGTGGGGGATTGGGGCGCCTGGATGGCTCAGTCAGTTGAGCGTCCGACTTCAGCTTAGGTCATGATCTCATGGTTCCTGGGTTCGAGCCCCACGTTGGGCTCTGTGCTAACAGCTCACAGCCTGGAGCCTGTTTCAGATTCTGACCCTCTCTCTCTGACCCTCCCCTGCTCACACTGTCTTTCTCTCTCTCTCTCTCTCTCAGAAATAAACACTTTTAAAAAAAAAAAAAAGGGAAGGGGATAGGGAATTGATGATGCATTTGAATGAAAGCATCCCCAAATCTGACCAAGGCAAGCTTAGTCCAGGGTGCACTGAATAGGACTGCTCTGGGGCACGTGGGTGGCTCAGATCATGATCTCACCGTTTGTGAGGTTTGTAGTTCGAGCCCTGCATCAGGCTCTGTGCTGAAAAGCAAAGAGCCTGGAGCCTCCTTCATATTCTTTCTCTCCCCCTCTCTCTGCCCCTCCCATGCTCATGCCCTCTCTCTCACTCTGTCTCTCAATAAAAAATAAAAACGTGGGGCGCCTGGGTGGCTTAGTCGGTTAAGCGTCCGACTTTCACTTAGGTCATGATCTCGCGGTTCGTGGGTTCGAGCCCCGCGTCGGGCTCTGTGCTGACTGACAGCTCAGAGCCTGGAGCCTGTTTCAGAGTCTGTGTCTCCCTCTCTCTCTGACCCTCCCCTGCTCACACTGTCTCTCTCTCTCTCTCCTAGAAATAAACAAAAATATTTAAAAAAAATAAAAAAATAAAAATAAAATAAAAATAAAAACGTTAAAAAATTAAAAAAAGAAAAAAAGAACAGGACTGCCCTTGCTTGAAGCTGCCCTTCAAGAGATTAGCCTCTGGCAGTCCGGCATAAACTAATTCAGGATTCTCTAATAAAGTGCAATTTCCCAGAAATCTGTTCTATTTACCAGGTCAGAAGTTGTTTGCTTGTCTTAAGAACTCTGGGGTTTCACGCAAAGGTTTTCATTATTTTACAAAGCCAGTTGGGAGGAAACATTCTGTAATCCTTGGTCTGTGGCAAATGTGGACAATGGCCAAATAACTGAACTGACATTCCCCCTCACCCTTAACACAATGTCTTAGCAGAATACTTCCAGTATTCTGGGGGAGGAGCCATTGAGTTTGCTAATTAGATGTCCTGGAAACACAAATGGAAATTCAACTTTTTAAAAAATTAAAGCAACCCATTTTATTTGATAATTGTTTGGCTTGCATTTTTGAGGCCATCTTTTATCTCCTAAAGTCATTGAAATTTTAAAGTGGACCTCCCAATTCACATGACTTTCTTCCAATTGTTCTTGGAATAACACCTAGAGGGTGGTGGGGACCCAGGGAAAGGAATGCAGAGAAAGGTAAAAGTGAGGATAAGGGATGGCTTGGGGTGTACCTTTAAGATCTCCTGGGGGCTCCTGGGTGGCTCAGTGGGTTGGGTGCCCTGGTGCCCGACACCCAACTTCAGCTCAGGTCATGATCTCGCATTCATGGGTTTGAGCCCTGTGTCGGGTTCTTTGCTGACAGCTCAGAGCCTGGAGCCTGCTTTGGATTCTGTGTCTCTCTGCCCCTCGCCTACTTAAAGCTGTCTGTCTCTCTGTCTCAAAAATAAATAAACATTAAAAATTAAAAAAAAAAAAAAAAAAGATGATCTGAGAATCTTTAAGATGTCCCTAAAGTATCGATGTTTCAAAACTCCCCTGGGTAATATCAGCAGACCTCCCAAGGGAAGAATCGTAGATCTGGTTCTTCCCAACATCTGCGGTAATTTTCCAGTGTTAATCTCTTACTGTGTCTTCCTTTAGCTATTCCAGTGGCTTTGCCTCCCACGCCTAACACATACATGCAGCAATTTATTATTTTACACTGGCTCTCAATTGTTAATGGCCTCCTCACAGGTTAGCCTTAGAGAAGGAGAGCTGAAAGGCGGTCTACTTTTTACAAATAGAAAAACATTTGTCTGGAATCTATCTTTGTTACTTGTTAGTGACATCGAAGCAAGTACATTATAACAAGATGCAGGGGCGCCTGGGTGGCTCAGTCAGTTAAGCATCCGACTTCAGCTCAGGTCATGATCTCGTGGTTCGTGGGTTCGAGCTCTGCATCGGGCTCTGTGCTGACAGCTAGCTCAGAGCCCCTATCTTCGGATTCTGTCTTCCTCTCTCTCTCAGACCCTCCCCTGCTCACGCTGTCTCTCTCTCTCTCTCTCTCTCTCTCTCTCTCTCTTTCTCATAAATAAATACAACATTAAAAAAAAATAAAAAACAAAACAAGATGTAGTAGGAAGCATAAAGAGATCCGTACTGGTCCAAAATGTTCTCTAGAGTGTGTTGGACCAGCTGTAGCAGAATTGCCCAGGGCTGCAGCTCTCAAACCTTATCTTTGAATGAAATCACCTGCACTGTTCTTGGGACCAGATTGTTGGGCTCCACCCCAGAGTTGGCCCCAATGATTCACTAAATTGGGTGGGTGGGACCATTTTAAATTTTTTTGTTTTTTTATTTATTTCTGAGAGAGAGAGAGGACGCATGAGCAGGGGAGGATCAGAGAGAGAGGGAGACACAGAATCTGAAACAGGCTCCGGGCTCTGAGCTCACTGTCAGCACAGAGCCCGACGTGGGGCTCGATCCCATGAACCATGAGATCATGACCTGAGCTTAAGTCAGACGCTTAACCAATTGAGCCATCCAGGCACCCCGGGTGGGACCATTTTAATTTCTTGCGAATCTTTAACCGATGCTGTCAGTTGGTGGACAACTTTGGGAACTGCTGGCCTTTGTGCTTACTACATTCTGGCTACAGCTGGGGCTTAGGAGAATCTTAAACAAGTTCTCTAGATGAGTTTTCTGCACACAGAGGTGTAAGAACCATCAATCCTGGTTATCCCAACTAGAAATGTTCTGATAAGGGGCGCCTGGGTGGCTTAGTTGGTTAAGCATCCGACTTTTGCTTAGGTCATGATCTCACGGTTTGTGGGTTCGGGCCCCGCATCGGGCTCTGTGCTGACTGCCAGCTCAGAGCCTGGAGCCTGTTTCAGCCTGTGACTCCCTCTCTCTCTGACCCTCCCCTGCTCACGCTGTCTCTCTCTCTCTCCTAAAAATAAATAAAACATTTAAAAAAAAATTAGAAATGTTCTGGTAACAGAAAAAGGAAAAGTTACCCCAAAAAGAGAAGGTACATGAGCCTGGAGAAGGGTATAAGGAAAGAAGGAGAGGGGCGGGGCCTATTTTGCTAATTTCTCTTCGTTTTCTTGTTTTGTTTTGTTTTCATTTAACCTTTCAGGCGCAATTCAATGCTGATCGTCAACCTACTGGCTATCCTGGGTGGCTGCCTTATGGGGTTCTGCAAAATAGCGACATCAGTTGAAATGCTGATCCTGGGCCGGTTGATTATTGGCCTTTTCTGTGGCCTCTGCACAGGCTTTGTGCCCATCTACATTGGCGAGATCTCACCTACCGCCTTGCGGGGGGCCTTTGGCACTCTCAACCAGCTGGGCATCGTCATCGGGATCCTGGTGGCTCAGGTACTTACCGAATATTAGTTTCATGGCTTGTTAAATGAGGTAACGTAAAGTACTCCTGAATCTGTAGCATGTAATCAGCTGTGTAAGTTTCACAACTATTTACCATAGCTCACAGGCAGCAGGGAGGTTAGAGAAAGGGGACGAAACAGAGTTTGTCTTTTTCCTGTAGTCAAAGAATGGAGGATTTTCTGAATTTCTCTTTTAATCAGCCTGTGGCTTAGAAAGGATCAGATTTATAGGATCCTCTTTGGCTTCCAGATCTTCGGCCTGAAAGTCATCCTGGGTACAGAAGAGCTGTGGCCTCTGCTTTTGGGCTTCACCATCGTCCCAGCTATCCTACAAAGCGCCGCCCTTCCCTTTTGCCCGGAGAGCCCTCGATTCTTGGTCATTAACAGAAAGGAAGAGGAGAGCGCTAAGAGTAGTGAGTATCCTTCACCCCCTCACTGTAGGAACTTGAGGTTGCGGTTTGTTTCAGGCCACGGCTAGTGGGTCTATGTTCTGTCCTCTCCTTCCCTGCCCCTCAGAACCCAAGTGAAGAGTTTCCTGATGTTCTCAAGGTAGATACTTTTCTTTTTCGTAAAATTCTTTTTAATGGTTATTTCTTTTTGAGAGCGAGACAGAGCTCAATCAGGGGAGGGGTGGAGAGAGAAGGAGACACAGAACCCGATGCAGAGCTCGAACTCACTGGCTGTGAGATCATGACCTAAGCCTCAGTCGGACGCTCAACTGGCTGAGCCACCCAGGCGCCCCTCGACTCAACCCCTAAAGAGTGACGTGAGAATTAAAAGGGGGGTAGGGGATGAGCATAAAAGACTTCCTGTCACGATCTCGCAGTTCATGAGTTCGAGCCCCACATGGGGCTCACTGTCATCCTGTCAGTGCTGAGCCTGCTACAGATCCTCTCTCCCCCTTTCTGCTCCTCCCCCCCCTTTCAAAAATAAAGAAGATCTTTTAAAAGATGAGAAGCAGATAAAGGCACAGATGCTAATTGCTGAGCCCTGTCCAAGGCCCATCTCGCGTGGCCTCTTCCCAGCTGTGTTACAGGGAAAAGGAAGCTGAGTCGGCACCTTAGCTTTATCTGGGTTTGCTTGTTTCACCAGTCCTCCAACGGCTGTGGGGCACCCCGGATGTGACTCAGGACATCCAGGAGATGAAAGAAGAGAGTGCTAGGATGGCCCAAGAGAAGCAGCCAACGGTGCTGGAGCTCTTCAGATTGCCCAGCTACCAGCAGCCCATCATCATCTCCATCATGCTCCAGCTCTCCCAGCAGCTATCTGGAATCAACGCAGTGAGTATCTGCTCCGCGCCTGCGGGCCCTCGCTGCACTTAACCCACCCGAGCACTGAGTGCCAGGCCAAACGCAGGCATCGCCTCCCTGCGCTACTCGCCGCATGGCGGCCACTCCAAAAACGTTGCTTCTCCAAGCTTTGAGTTACTTTTGTTTTTTATTTTCTTATTATTAGAGTTCATTTATTTAAGTCATCTCTTCCCCCAAGGCGGGGCTCGAACTCACAACTCTGAGATCAAGAGCCACACACTCCTCTGACTGAGCCAGCCAGGTGCCCCTGTTTCATTCCTTGACGATTTTATCTGCAGCACATGTTTTCCATGTGGAAAAGAAATACTAACACAATACTAACACAAAAAACTCACCACCTTTAGTCTTGGAATTCCTGGCGACCATTTGTCCTCTTCCAAACTTGTTTCAGGATAGAGAACGTTACACATGTATCTACTTTTCATGAATCCTCTCTCTGACCTCTCATTTTTTATTTCCAATTGTCTTTAACTCTGGTCCGTCTTTTTAAAATTTTTTATTTATTTTGAGAGAGAGAGCGTGAGCGCAAGTGGGCCAGAGAGAAGGAGACCGAATCCCAAGCAGGCTCTGCAGTGTCAGCCAGAGCCCAATGCAGGGCTCGAACCCACAAACCGTGAGATCATGACCCGAGCTGAAACCAAGAGTCAGACATGGTACCAACTTAGCCACCCAGGTGCCCCCTAACTCTGATCGATCTTATCTTGATGTCCTCAAAGATAACGGAAGCCAGAGGACTAAAGTAGACCCTGGAATTTACATGCAGTGGCTTTCCCCCAGGACTTTACAGTCTGAAAATCATTATAAAGCCCCAGCGTTTGCGTCTTAGTTGTAGCGAGAGAGGGTATTCCCATACCTTCTATCCATTTGCAGATGAAATATTTGTAATTGAGACACACTGCTGGCCCGCCTCTTTAAATTTCAGATTCATGCCTGAGAGTTTCTTATCAGTCTTTTTTCTTTTTTTTTAATGTTTATTTATTTTTGAGATAGAGCTGTGGGGGTGGGGGAGGGGTGGATACAGAGGATCCGAGGCAGGCTCCACACGGACAGCAGAAGGCCCTAAGTGGGTCTCAAACTCACAAACCATGAGATCATGCCCCGATCCACATTTTGTAGCATGATCTACTAAAATCAGAATCAAGGGGCCTTGTCTCCCTAACGCACAAGAAGGTTGCTTGTGTTTGAAATAGCAGTGCCTTCTCATGCAGGGTTGGAGGATGTGCTATCAGAAATTGGGAAGAGGGGCGCCTGGGTAGCTCAGTCGGTTAAGTATCTGACTTTAGCTCAGGTCATGATCCCACAGTCTGTGGGTTCAAGCTCCACATCAGGCTCTGTGCTGACAGCACAGAGCCTGGAGCCTGCTTCAGATTCTGTGTCTCCCCCTCTCTCTACTGCCCCCCTGCTCGCACTATCTCTCTTTCAAAAATAAAAAGTAAACATTAAAAAATCTATATATATAAAATATTTATATACATCGGAGTGTAGAGGTTACTTAAAAATATACATAAAATATATATATTATGTAGTATAATGTATTATTTATAATATATTTATTTTTATTTTATATTTGTATATTATATAAAATATATATTATATATATATATTTGTTTGTTTTTTAATTTAAGAAAACCACTGTAATACAATACACTCTCAAGACTTTCCAGAGCAGCAGGGCTGGGACTAGAGTGAGGCATCTAGGTGCAAATCAGTAGTCCCAAGCATGAGCACCTCCTTAAATTGTGAACCCTAGGGGCCTCACTTGTACCCCCAGAAAGCATAATTTGGGCTCCAGTCTGGGTCCTATAAAGCAGGATCAGAAAAAGCCCACTCCTGGAAAATTACAGATGATAGATGAGCACTCTGCAGGACAGACTCCTCCCACTTCCGGAAATGATGTATGAAAGTCACTTTTTCAGCCTCCTGTTGAGTAAACAAAGTTTTCTAATTTCCCTTGGAAAAGGCAGAGGGTAAAAGGTTGGGTGGTATTGACCTAGCAGAGGAAAACTGCTTGTAGGTTGAGATGATGTACGTGTTATCTTGAAGCCCGCTTGATGGCAGCAAATAGCAAAGTAATTTGACTGTAAGAACTTTCCTCGAGGGGCACCTGGGTGGCTCAGTCAGTAGAGTGTCTGACTTTGGCTCAGGTCATGATCTCACGGTTTGTGGGTTTGAGCCCCACATTGGGCTCTGTGCTGACAGCTCAGCGCCTGGAGCCTGTTTCGGATTCTGTGTCTCCTTTCTCTGCCCTTCCTCTGCTCATGCTGTGTTTCAGTCTCAATAATAATAAACTTTTTTTTTAAATTTTTAATAAATATATCAAATAATATTATTGGAATTTTTTTAAACAGTCTTAGCTGCCTTTCTCTTTTAGAACAGCAGTTTTTGATTGGGATGATACTACAAATCCTTTCCCACCTTCCCTTTCTTTTTTTAAGATTTTATTTTTAACTAATCTCAACGCCCAACCTGGGGCTTGAACTCAGAACCCCAAGATCAAGATCTGCATTCTCTACTGACTGAGCCAGCCAGTCTCCTCGGTTTCTTTTTTTCTTTTTGTTTTTAAAGTAAACTGTACCCATTGTGGGACTTGAACTCTAAGCCTGAGATCAAGAGTCCCATGTTCTACCAACTATACCAGCCAAGAGCCTGCAGATCTGTTCCCAAAAGCACAGCCTTATGGCCCCTGGCTGGCTTAGTCGGTTGAGCATATGGCTCGTGATTTCAGCCCAGGTCATGATCTCATGGTTTGTGGGACCGAATCCCATATCCACGATGACAGTACAGAGCCTGATTGGGATTCCTCCTCCCTCTCTCTCTGCCCCTCCCCCACATATACTGTCTCTCTCAAAATAAATAAACGTCCAAAAAATTTTTATTAAAAACACAACCTTAGTCTTATTTTATTTATTTATTTTTTTAATTCTTTAAATGTTTTATTTATTTCTAGGAGAGAGAGAGAGAGACAGCATGAGCAGGGGAGGGTCAGAGAGAGAGGGAGTCACAGACCGAAACAGGCTCCAGGCTCTGAGCTTGCAGTCAGCACAGAGCCCGACGCAGGGCTCAAACCCACGAACCGCAAGATCATGACCTAAGCGAAAGTCGGACGCTTAACCAACTAAGCCACCCAGGCGCCCCTCCTTAGTCTTATTTTAGAAAAAAACAAATAAACACCGTCTCTATCTGAGGTTGTAAGAGTCGTTTCTTGAGAGGTAAATCCCAGTGTAGACACATCTATTCGTCAAAAAGTCTGACGAATTTTGCTATAGAGGCAAACACTCTGGATTAAATCATAAAACTCTTGACCCAAACTTGAGGGACTGAGCCTACATGATCTAGATACTGTCCCGTACTGTTCCCTTATTACATTGAGGTCTGAGTCCAATATTTTGACATCTCTTTAACTGTGGTTGTTGTAACAGCCGTATGTTTGAGCACAGCGTCAAGCAAATAATAAAACCCGTACACATTAAATAATACCTTACTGAATAGGATAAAGTTACAAAGAGAGTGGTGTTATTTCCTAAAACAATGGGGATGGACCCAGAGCTAGGAATTCTAGCCCCAGTTCTGCTTCTAATTACATGAGCAGGCTTGTGGTTACTCCTCAATTTCTTCACTATCAAATTACAGTATCAGTGTACCACTCACTGTTTTCAGGGTTAGGGTACTTACCTATCAAAGAAGGTTATTAAGGGGCTTGCTGCTGGCTGGCTCCGTTTGAAGAGCATTTGACTCTTTTTTTTTTAATGTTTTTTTTATTTTTTATTTATTTCTAGGAGAGAGAGAGAGACAGCGTGAGCAGGGGAGGGTCAGAGAGAGAGGGAGTCACAGACTGAAACAGGCTCCAGGCTCTGAGCTGGCAGTCAGCACAGAGCCCGACTCGGGGCTCGAACCCACGAACCGCGAGATCATGACCTGAGCGAAAGTCGGACGCTTAACCGACTAAGCCACCCAGGCGCCCCAAAGAGCATTTGACTCTTGATCTCAGGGTCATGAGTTCGAGGCCCACACTGGATATAGGTCATACTAAAAAAAAAATTTTTTTTAAACAAGCAAAAAAAGCTTAATTGGAAAAATTAATATGACTTAAACCTTTAGGTCTAAGTTGACTAAAAACAGAAGAGACTTAAATGGAGCCAAAGGAATGAGCGTACAAGAACAAATGGAAACGAGTAGCTAGAATTGACCAGAAATAAGAAGCGACTAGAGATAAGATACAGAAGATCATTCATTTGCAGAAAAGATACCGTGATTAGACAGAAGACCCCAGGAAGGACTCTAACCTCATGAGACAGTCGAGTTTATTTTTTGAGTGTTCTCTGTTTAACTGTTGATGCACCACTGCTGTTTCAAAATCCCATCTTTTGTTTCCCATTAGGTGTTCTATTACTCAACAGGAATCTTCAAAGATGCGGGTGTCCGGGAGCCGATCTATGCCACCATCGGGGCGGGCGTGGTTAACACCATCTTCACCGTTGTCTCTGTAAGTTGGGTGGTTTGCTAGTTTGGGGGCAGGGGAGAGGAACTCCTACCACACGTGTTCAAAGGTGGGCTTCATGTCCTCCCACCTCCTACCGTCATCTAAACCTTTCCAGCTTGTTCTTCGGGAAAGAAGAGCTATTGAGCGATGGGTGTAAGTGGGCTTCACTCTCTACAAGCAAAGAGGAAGTGAGTGAGAAAGAGGGAGGTGTGAACGGGACTCTGTAGGATGCTTCTAGCTCGGAACTAAAATGGGGAGTGTGAGAATAATGAGAACCCTGCTGTTGGTAAGGCAGATTCAGTTCGCCCACGCAGCGCCTTCGTGAAAGGGAGAGCAGACATTGCATGCTACATTGTTCTCCTTACAGCTGTTTCTGGTGGAAAGGGCAGGGAGGAGGACTCTACATATGATTGGCCTCGGAGGGATGGCTTTTTGTTCCATCCTCATGACCATCTCCTTGTTACTAAAGGTGAGTACTCTTGGAGGGAAGGGGAGGGAAGGGGAGGGAAGGGGGGAGGCGGGGATGTAGGAGAGGTTACCAGGTGACTCTCTGTGACACAGGTGACCTGCCCAGTTTTAAGAAAAGTGGATCGTCAGAGATAGGTCATTAAGCTGCTCGAATTCTTCTATCTGTGTAACACATAGCTTGTAAAATACCTTATGTAATTTAATGCTTAAAGAAATCTCAAAGTAATTACTCCCCATTTTACGGGGAATAATGGTCTCAGTGTGAAATGACCACAAGGCTAGGATTCAAAAGTCCAGTAACTCCACTGTACCCCAGGACGCCGAGCCTTAAATGCTCGGCTGCCCCCCTCTCCTCTCTGGGAGGCTAGATCATACCCGTGTTGTGTGTGGTCTTTAGTACTGACTTTCCTTTGCTTCTTCCTCGCGCAGGATAACTATAACTGGATGAGTTTTGTCTGTATTGCTGCTATCTTGGTCTTCGTGGCCTTCTTCGAAATTGGCCCCGGCCCCATTCCCTGGTTTATTGTGGCCGAACTCTTCAGCCAGGGGCCCCGCCCGGTTGCCATGGCGGTGGCTGGTTGTTCCAACTGGACCTCCAACTTTCTGGTTGGGCTGCTCTTCCCTTCAGCTGCAGTAAGTACATTAAAATGATGGGGCGCCTGGGTGGCTTAGTCGGTTAAGTGTCCGACTTTCGCTTAGGTCATGATCTCACGGTTCGTGGGTTCGAGCCCCGCATCGGGCTCTGTGCTGACTGCCAGCTCAGAGCCTGGAGCCTGTTTCAGTCTGTGACTCCCTCTCTCTCTCTGACCCTCCCTGCTCACGCTGTCTCTCTCTCTCTCCTAGAAATAAATAAAACATTTAAAAATTTTAAAAAAAATAAATACATAAATAAAATAAAATGAAACCCCCCTAGGGGACGCCTGGGTGGCCCAGTCGCTAAGCATCTGACTTTCCTTGGTCATGATCTCATGGTTCATGATTTTGATTCCCACATCAGGTGAGCTCAAGCCCCACTTCGGCTGAACCCCACTTCTCGCTCGCTCTCTCTTTCAAAAGAGAAATAAATAAAATGAAACTCACCCAGCCAGTCTCAAAATCAGCTCACCTAAGCCAACAGGTTTAAAATCTGGTTCCTTAAAAAAATAAAAAAATAAAATAAAATAAAATCTGGTTCCTGACACCCCAAAGGATTAGATAGCAAGTGTTTTAAAACAGATTTTTCTTTCTCATGTTCAATGGCATATACAAAAAGAAGGAATGCTGGCAAAAAAGGATTCAAGCGGGAGGGTAAAACGGGGCCCCCCCCCCCCCCCGTCCCCTAAGAGAGAAAATCCCAAGCAGGCTTCGTGCTGTCAGTGCGGAGCCCGATGAGGGGCTCAAGCCCACAAACCATGAGTTCATGACCTGAGGGAGATCAAGAATTGGACACTTAACCCACTGAGCCACCCACGCACCTAAAACTGGGAGCTTCTAAAAGACCAATAGTCTGAGGTGATTACAGGCATAGTCCTGCCTAGAAACAGTGATAATTTTAAGCCTCCAAGGATTCCAAATCAACACTTCATGACTTCAAGACCTTAAAGGCTCATTAAACAAAGGGATGTTAATGAATGGATGAGCCAGCTCCTATTCTAAAATGACCTGGCGTTGGTCCCTTAAATAAAGGAACTTGCCATGCACTTCTGGAAAGTATTTCCTATTTCTGTGATTCTTTCAGAAACCCAGATTTGATTTGATTTTGTTGTATTTAAATTCTACTTAACAGAGGGGCGCCTGGGTGGCTTAGTCAGTTAAGCGTCCGACTTTCGCTTGGGTCATGATCTCACGGTTCGTGGGTTCGAGCCCCGCGTCGGGCTCTGTGCTGACTGCCAGCTCAGAGCCTGGAGCCTGTTTCAGAGTCTGTGTCTCCCTCTCTCTCTGACCCTCCCCTGCTCATGCTGTCTCTATCTCTTTCCTAGAAATAAATAAAAAAACATTAAAAAAAAAATTCTACTTAACAGAGAGTGAGAGCGAGAGAGCACACGCAGGGGAGGGGCACAGGGAGAGAGAGAGAATCTTGAGCAGGCTCTATGCTAAGTGCAGAGCCTAATGCGGGGCTCAGTCCCAGGACCCTGGGATCATGACCTGAGCCAAAATCAAGAGTCAGACGTTAAACCACCTGAGCCATCCAGGCGCCCCAGAAACCCAGATTTTAAAAATATTCTTCAAAAGTCCTAAAATACTCAGTAGCTATTGAGAAGCAGGGAACTTTAATGAAGAGGAAAAAGAATGGCCCCAAATTGCAGAGAAATCTGGTAAGTTAGCAATGGCACCGCAAATCTCTGAGGAAGCCTTAACATTCTTGGTAAGTGTGGAGAGGTTAGGTCTTGGAGCCTACCCGAAACAGATGGCACGGAAACGAGCTGGGCAACGAACGACCAGCTTTAACACTGATACTCCTTTTTTTTTGTATCTTTTCACTAGTTCTATTTAGGACCCTACGTTTTTATCATCTTCACCGGCTTCCTTGTTATCTTCTTGGTCTTCACCTTCTTCAAAGTCCCTGAGACCCGCGGCAGAACTTTTGAGGAAATCACCCGGGCTTTCGAAGGGCAGGTGAGGGAGGCCGACAGAGGCGAGAAAGGCCCCATCGTGGAGATGAACAGCATCCAGCCCGGGAAGGAGACCGACACCAATGTCTAAGCTGCCGTGCCTCCTCCCCGCCTCCCTCCCAACACGGAAACGCGACCTCTCCCAGAGGAGGGGGAGACCTCATCAGGCTGTAACCCAGGACTGTATTCGAATGCTGCTACTTGATTCCTTTCTCTTCCCACACACTCCATGAGCACTCAGAGGAGCCCAGGACTGGACTTAGTTGTATCTTCAGTGGCTTGTGAAACCTTTCAGTTCTTGGACACGTCTCTTCTGTAGAGAAGAGACCGAGTGAACCTACCTTCACCTCAGGAGGAACTGGCCACCTGGCTCATGACAACATTGCCAGCTCTTCCTCCCTTGGGTTGTACTCTGGCCTCGCAAGGGCCTACGGGGGAGTAAGAGTGCGGGGCCGTTTCCCTGGCCCCAGACTTCCCAGGAAGCAGATGTACAGGAGTGTGGAAGGCAGAGAGGGATTAAATAAGAGCACCTTCCTCGCTTCCATACAGCTCTGCAGAGCAAATTAACTTGAGTTTTATTTATTTTCTCTTCTGGTTTTATTGCATAAATATTTATTTTTTTAAGTGTAAAGTAATTTTACCAAATAATGAAAACATAAGGAAATTGAGGTTAGAGGGAGGCGCTTAAGGAGAGGTTGATAGGGTAGGAAGACTGGCTACTGGAGAGGTCCAGGTGCAATACAGGAAGAATGAGGGAGAAAATGTAGTGTGTTGTCGCAGGGTGTACGATGGGGTGCGTGAAGCTTGCACGGTGCCTCTCAACGATTTCTGTCCTTCAGGTGGAAACTCTCAAGTTTATTTTCTCAGAAAAGTCATGTGCCTGTATTAAGAAGCTACTGGTTACCTTTGGAACTATTTTCTTTGTTTAAGATTTTATGTAGTGTTACTTGAAATCTAGAGTTATTATTAAGATGGGCATTGTAGTTAATGGTGGTTAATGGGTTCTAATTTTGGTTGGAGTCCAGAGAAGGGAAGGCTGTTTCTAGAAATCCTTTCTCCCTTCACTGGACCAAACAACTTCCTCCCCTGGTAGCGGGCTCACTGTGTGTGTGTGTGTGTGTGTGTGTGTGTGTGTGTGTGTGTGTGTGTGTGTATTTTGGTTTTTCCATTAGCTCGCTCCTACCACCTGCGTGGTGGGAGAGCCTTCCAGATGAGCAGCCCGAAATACTGGTAGCGGGTAGAGGTTCTGTATTTCTCCATTTTATTCTTTAGGGGATTTTTGTTGTTGTTTTGTATTTTGTTTTAAGCCATAGCTTTAAAAGAATTCAGAGGAGAATGTTGGTAGCTAACATGGAATTTGTAACCTCAGCTCTGGAGGTGGGTTTTTTTCCTGAACGATTACTATCCAGTTGAAGTATGTTGTTGCTTTAAGGTCATCGCTTGCGTGTTCATCCGATGCCGCATTTCCATAGTGTTACTTCAAGTGCCCTTTGGGGCCCGTACATTTGAGACGGTATGAGTAAATGTGCAGTGTGGCCCACACTTGAGAGAGTATGAATGTTATGTGCACTGACACTTTGCTCTGGGTAAAGGTAGTTTATTGGTAACTGTTCCTTCATTTTCTACAGCCCCCTTTCTAAAAGAATGTGTTAAAACTCATTTATGTGTTTATATATATATATATATATATATAAAGAACACTGCTTCTGCTGGTGGAATTTACATCTGTGGTTTTCTTCCAAACTTCAGGGTGCAGTCTCTCTCCTCCACCTACTTTTCCTCATTGGAGAGTTCAGGGAGACTTCCTGAAGGAGTTGGCTGGTGGATGTGGGGCCCAGACAGTGGGAGTAGGAAAGAAGTGTGAGATCAGGACGTGTGGCCTCTGGAGGTCGCTGGAGGGGAGTCATGGGGGAGAGAGGGGCCTCTCTTTTAAAGGGATAAAGAAACAAACTGAAGACTTCTAACTCTGGAACATTCCAGAGGGTTAGATGAGATGGAGGAGTTCTCTGCTTGCCCCGGGTCACGGACACCTCCACAAATCATCTACTTTCCCAGTGTTTGAATAAATGGAGATTGGACCCCACGACATTTACTCTGTCTTCCCTCTTTCATATGTTGCTTGATCCCCCTTTTCCCTCCTTGGTGCTTAAACAGTTCAGGCCCTTTAGCCAAACCCTTGCCTATGACAGTATTTTACTTCCCAGTTCTCACTGTTCCCTGCGGTCTTTGAGCCGCTGGAAGAAAAACTCCCAGAGCTTGTATGGAATGGGGCTTTGAACACGTCACTTCCTCTAACGACCCTTCTGCTTCTGGCTCCTCAAAACCAGTAGTGGGCGGCGGGGGAGGGGGGGGCGGTTCCCATCTCTCAGTGACCGGATTGTGAATATTTCCATATGGATTTTCTATTATTAATGTTACTGTGGTTCTTTGTTTTGAAATAAAAATTCTGAATGTACATGACATCATGGGCTTGTCTTTTTTCATTTGTGTTCTGGTTTGGTTTGGTTTGGCCCTTCTGGAACCCAAAACCGTCATTGTTGCTTCCTTTCCTGAGTGAGAATTCTTCTGCTTTTCCCTTTTGCTTCCTTCCTTTTCCCCTCTAGTCTTTGCTCTTGGAAATTCATCCTACACTGATCAGAACGTCCATTTATATCACCATCCTACTTAAAATCCTTCAGTAGCTTCTATAGTCAATTACAGAGGAAAAAAACGTAAGCACCCCTGTGGATCACCCCCCACCCACCCATGTCAGGTCCCTGCTACCTTTTCAGTTTGATTTACCATATTGTAGATCCCATTTATACAGGAAAACACCCACACCCAGTTCATCACTCATTAACACTTTTTTTTAATGTTCTTATTTTTTATTACTTTTAACTTTGATTTATTTTTGAGAGATAGCATGAATAGGGGAGGCAGGCTCCAGGCTACGACCTATCAGCACAGAGCTCGACGCGGGGCTCAAACTGACGACCGCAACATCATGACCTGAGCCAAAGTTGGCCGCTTAACCGACTGAGCCACCCAGGTGCCCCAGTGTTTTTTATTTTTGAGAGAGAGGAAGATAGAGCATCAGCAGGGTCCAGGCAGAGAGAGGGAGACACAGAATCTGAAGCAGGCTCCAGGCTCTGAGCTGTCAACACAGAGCCCGACACGGGGCTCGAACTCATGGACTGCCCGATCATGACCTGAGCCGAACTCAGACGTTCAACCCACGGAGCCACCCAGGTGGCACTCAGGCGCCCCTCTCATTACCACTTTCATGCCTTCATTTATATATTCTGTCACTCCACCACATTTCTAGTCACTTCCTAAAGATAACGTGAATGGTGACTTTATTTCTGTTTAGCCCAGGTACGAGCTGCATAAAACCTTCCTTCCTGGCAACGTAATCCTTCCACTGGGAACTGTGTTGTTGGAATAAGGATGGACCCCGATCTGAAAGAGCCCTGTGAGAGCACCATATTCTCCACAGTTGTGGGGATCTTAGCTCCCATTTCTGTTTTTGCTTCCTTGTAATTCATTCTGCAGTGACCAGACTGATGTTAAAGACTTCCCAGTCACACCCTGTCACAGTTAAACTAGCACGCAGACTCCTTTCCGGTGGCCTGTAAATTCAGGGCCCAGACATCCCAGTTCACTGCTATAGCGCTGGTGTAACCTACACTGTACCGCTTTCATTCACTCTCCAAACTGCCCTGAAAATATGTGCAGGTAAAACATTTGCTTCTTCAACTTCATCTCTTGATAACTCTGCTCACAGACTAGCCTCACTGGGCCTTCTAGTTTTCAAATACCTTCTGTTCACTATCAATAGGTTCTTTACGCTTGGCCCCTTGTACTTAGAATTTTCTCCCTCAAAATGTTGTACGGCTTGGTCTACCTGGTGAGTTAGGTCTTAGTAAACAACCTCTGTAGAATGTATCTCCATAAAAGCAAGTACCTGGTCTGTCTTGCTCATATTTCAAACACTGTTGAACATCTAATTGATGTTTTTTTTTGTTTTTGTTTTTTATAAATTCTTTTATTTTTTTATAAATTTTTTTAATGTTTTATTTATTTCTGAGAGAGAGAAAGAGAGAGAGACGGCATGAACAGAGGAGGGTCAGAGAAAGAGGGAGACACAGAATCTGAAACAGGCTCCAGGCTCTGAGCTGTCTGAGCTGTCAGCACAGAGCCCAATGCGGGGCTCAAACCCACGAACCATGAGATCATGACCTGGGCGGAAGTTGGATGCTCAACCGACTGAGCCACCCAGGCGCCCCAACATCTAACTGATGTTTAAGTGTTATCAGTCTGGCTCCTATCAGAAAACAGAAACCATACAATGATTGATTGATTGAATGATTGGTGGGGGGCAAATAATTTTTAAGTTTTTTTCTTTTAACAAATAACACCAGAGAGGGGTACCTAGATGGCTCAGTTAAGCGTCAGACTTCGTTCAGGTCATGACCTTATGGTTTGTGAGTTCAAGCCCCCCCACCCCCACCCCGCATTGGGGTCTGTGCTGACAGCTTGTAGCGGAGCCTCCTTTTAGATTCTGTGTCTCCCTCTCTCTCTCTCTGCTTCTGCCCCACTTGCGCTCTGTCTCTCAAAAATAAACACTGGGGTGCCTGGGTGGCTCAGTTGGTTAAGTCTACGGCTTCGGCTCAGGTCATGATCTCACGGTTGGTAGGTTGGAGCCTGGCGTTGGGCTCTGTGCTGACAGCTCAGAGCCTGGAGCCTGCTTCGGATTCTGTGTCTCCCTCTGTCTCCCCTGCTCACACTGTATCTCTCGCTCTCTCAAAAATAAATAAAACATTTAAACAAACAAACAAACAAACGTTAAATATTTTTGTTAAAAAGATAATAATAATAGATAGGACAACTCAGTATGGCATCCTAGAGCTGAGGGAGAGTATCCGAGGAGAGACACACTTGGAAGAGAGGGCATCTCCCCAAAGCTGAGGTTCAGATCTTCCTGGAAAAGGCACCGCTGCGATCTACCCAATAGTAGAGAAATGTGCGGGATTGCACAGGCCAGAGCCAGGGCGACCAGGGAAGCAAGGGACACAGGTGAGCCACGGCCGATGGCCAGACAACGGAGGAGAGTCAGGGCACCAAAATGGGGGGATGCGGGGGAAGGCGGCCCTTTGGGCCTCGTGGACAGTGATTGACAGACATGCGCTGAGGCTGCGAGGTAACTGAGGAAGCTTGCGTTCTGGGTGCGTGGCTAGGGCAGGGTGCCCCCCGAATGTTGTCATCTACGGTGTGGCCCCCGGAATCCGCAGCACCGTCTACGGAGAAAACTTCGTTGTGCTGAGCACTCTCAAGGAGAAATGATTCCAAGGAAGTCTATGCATCACCAAAAGGTACTCGAGGATGGATGTGGGGCTGCGGGGCCATCCATCCATAGCGGCACAGGAAACGCCAGAGGGCTGGCTGGCTGGGGGGATCCTCGGTTGAATTTACTCTTTCCACACTTCCAACGCCTACCTGTGCTTCGATCAAATTCAAGTTGAAACGTACTTTTTGGGGGGTGACGGGGGGGGCGGGTAACTGAAAGTGTCTGCTGCAGATATCTGGCCAAAGTCCCAACCGTGTGGCTGCAGCTGAGGTTGGCTGGTGGCCCCTGCCCAGGGGGTGGCAAGTGAGGAAGGGGAAGGGGAGAAGGTGGCCTCTAAACGTGGCGGGGTCGCAGATGATGCGGGGTCCAGGCCAAGGTGAGGCCCAGCCCTCTAGCTCCGGCTCTGCGTTCCGGGTCTTCCACACGCCATCCCATCACCACAGACAACCTCTTGGGAGTCGATTCCCCAAGAGGGACCCCAAGGAGTGTTAAGTCTGTGACCTTGATCCCGGCCCTGGTGGCCCACACGGTCCGCCGGGCCCAACCATCTCCCTCCTTGGGGTCGTCGCCCTGCTCCCTCCGCGAC